TTTATATTTATATTTATATTTATATTTATATTTATATTTATATTTATATTTATATTTATATTTATATTTATATTTATATTTATGTTTATGTTTATATATAGCTTTGTTATATGAGTATTGTACACAACCTCATGTTCTCACTGTGATTGCTATTATTCTTATGGGTCGTTATAATAAGCAGGTTTGAACCTTGTTCTAGCATTTATTAAGATTTTATTTTATCTAACAAAATATATATGTATAGCCAGGAGCTGGTTGGATGTATAATGGAATTGCAACAAAAATGGTATTTGAACTTGGCTTACATCGTAAACCAAAAAATTTAAAAATCAAAATGGAAAAGGATGTTGAGATGTTGAGAAATGAGGCATTCTGGGTGACATTTATATCTGAAAAGTAAATTGATTTATGTTTATAAATAATAATAATAGTATTAATAGTGATAACAGTGATAGTGATGGTAATAATATACTAATTTTATGATATTTAAAAGCTTTATTTCGGCAACGTATGGTCGACCAAATATGATTGACGAAACAGATTGTGATGTTGATGTGACAGTTTTACCACCCGAAGATCAAAATTTATTTGATGAAAAAACAAAACTTCGAATAGCCTTTATTCATTTGATAAATCTTAGTCGGATTTGTGCAAGAGTACGTAAATATGTGCATGCAGCCTCCAGATTGAAATTTTTGATACAAGAAGACGAAAATAAATTTAGAGTTCTTGATGCTGCACTTGCTAGCTGGTTTCACAGTTTACCTGATTGGCTGAAATTTGAAGAAATATCAAAAGACCCAAATGGAACTTTGTTAAATGGAATTGGAGGTTAATATAAACTTTATATATTAAATAATAATAAATAAATAAATGATTTACTCAAGAACTAAGGAAATTAATAATTCTTGTTTTAAATGAATAATCAAAAATACTAGGTGATTTACATATTTTTTTCTACACAACACTTATACAACTTCATAGTAGATATTTAAAACATTCAGAAACATATAACCATAATTCATCATATTTGGCAAATTCACCTGTGATCTGCATTCAATCAGCAACTATTATTGTGCATTGGTTGGAAATCTTATTATCAAAACATCCAAATTTTTTTGCCTTTTCTATGTCAGGTCCATTTGCAATTGATCCGTCAATGCGTGTATTTTCTTGGCATGCAAAACATAATGAAAATGACAAGAAATCAACAGATATGCTTCAAAGGCTTCAATTTATCAAATCACAAGTTGAAATAATTTCCAGAGGGTATGATCGAGGAAGAAAAGATGGTAGTAATTCAATAATGTCAACTGATAGAATGATTGGTGATTGGTTAGGTATTACTGTACATCCACATAATGGATTGAGAAATGGTGATGTAGAAATTAGAGACTGGGAAGTATTTGTTAGTGATGATGATAAAATTTTGAGAAAGCAATACAGTATGGTAGTAAAGAAACAGTCAGGAGGACCTTTTATGCCTAAAAGACATGGCTCATTAAGTTATTCAAGAGGATCAAGACATTACGGCTCATCAAAGTATGATTACTTTGGTTCAAATTTGCAAAGCACAGATGATCAATTCAATTTTACCTTTAAAAGTGATGAAAAAATCAATTTTTGTGCATTTCAACCACAACAAAATCAACAAATAAATTGCAATGATGATGATAGGAGTAATAATAATCCACTATCTGAAGAACCTGAAGAAATTAATTCACAAGGAAACTATCAATATTATTCATCAATACAACCATCACCTCAAATTTCTCAATATAATACACCATTGCAGCAATCACCACATTTTCATTATAATAATAATATAAATATAAATATAAATATAAATATAAATATAAATATAATTTAAATTATTATATATATATATGTTAAAAAATACACTACCTTCAGCTCTTTCAAAGTAAATCCTCCCATCCCTCTTCTCGGGATCTTCTTGAAAGGGTGATGCAGCGAAGAAAATGCAATTTAACAATAGCAAATGTTGTGATTTGGAAAGATCTCGAAGAGCATAGACTACCTTTTCTCGTAAAACAGGAAAGTAACGGTGAACATTCTGGAAAATATTTGATAATTTTTTAAAAGAAGTTTACTAAGTAATTGATTTATCAATCTATGAATTATAACTTGTTCAAAAAAGAATTTACTTTATAATATAAAGATATTAATTCATCAACAGTCTGTGGGTCAGGGAGTATCTTTAATGAATCGTCAACCTCAGATAAACGTGCTTGTGTTTGAGGAATAATCATTTCTCCATTATAATCTTCATCAAGCATCAACAAAGAACCTTCACCGATATATCTGGTTGATTCGTAAAGATTTATGTTATTGATTGAAGAAATTAAATCTTCCATCATGTCATAACCAGGTTTGGATGATGTATTCTGATAAGCATCAACATTAGTAATGTTGCTATTTTTATTATCGCTATTATTTTGATGCTGTTGAGATGATGGAGCCAATGGAGGCATTTGTTCAGGTGATATTTCCAAAAATTGTTCTTGGTGAGGTACCTGTTTAGTGAGTGCAGCAAAATCAGCACAATTTAGATAATATGTAGGATCGTACTAACGAAATAAAAAATAAAATTAATAAATCCATATAGCTATATGTTATGGTTGCCAATAACTTATTTGGTGTTGCAAATTCACGGTCATCGTTATCCCAGTAATTTAAAATTATTAATTATATAAAAATAAATACAAACCAAACATTGTTCAGATACCCTAGGAATATTTGATGCAATTTCGCTAGAATGATAAAGAACCTCACTAGTGATCACCGATGTTCCATCCTATATTTATATATTATAAAAAAATCATAATAATAAAATTGTGTTAACAATATTAATGAAATAAACAGCAGAAAAATAAAGATTAGAGATTAATTACTAACAATGCTAGCGAAATTTTGTCCATCATTTTGTTGCAATGGAATCGTTGGTGTAGACAACATTCCAACAATATTTTGGCCTTCGTTTATATCAACACCAAATCCTCTTGAGACCATGGATAAATAACCTGATTCTTCAAATAATGGGCCAAACTGCACTTTTTGTATATCTTCTAAACATGAATCTAAGTAACTTTTGTCATTTTGTGATTTCATGCCATTCTGTTTATCTCGCATCGATTTCGTTAACTGTGCATAATTGTAACTACATTTTCTATTTGTTCTTTTACAAGTACCACATTCTGGTCGTTCTTTGTCGCATTTGACCTTTCGAGCTTTACAAATATCGCAAGTTGATACTAATTTTACTCTCTTGGGGTTTGTTAATCTAAGAAAATTTGTAGTCATTTTTTTAAAATTAAAATGAAAAAAAAAGAATATGGTAATTCATTTATTTATGAATTTCTTTTATATCCGTTTTCTATTTTTTTGTGTTCTTGTAATACTTTTTAGTTTTTGTATTTGTACTTTTTTATTAGATAATCACTTTCCGAAAATTGATAATGTCGGTGAGTTTTATTAAACATTGATTAATTCATGAACCATTATCTTGAATGTTGTTTAAAAAAAAATTTCATTTTCATCAAATGACATTTTTCTCTCTAATGAAATTTCGACAGAGCCGGAACATTAATAAGATATCTACCGAGGCTAAAGAATTTATAAATTTTGTCAATAATTCACCTTCACCTTTTCACGCGGTTGAAGAAGCCCGTACAAGATTAGTTGGTGCTGGTTTTGAAGAAATTAAAGAATATGATAGTTGGGAAGAAAAATTAAAACCAAATGGAAAATACTACTTTACAAGAAATAGAAGTACCATTGTTGCTTTTGCCATAGGTGGCCTTTATAAGGTTGGGAATGGTATTTCCATGGTTGGAGCTCATACTGATTCGCCTTGTTTAAAGGTATTTTGGAGAAAAAAAGAATATTTGTTTGAGTTTTAATAATAAACACAAGAATAATTCAATCATATTAATTATATTAATTGTTAGCTTAAACCTATTTCGAAAAAGGAAAAGGCAGGTTATTTACAAATTGGAGTTGAGACTTATGGTGGTGGTATTTGGTAATTTAACTGATCAATCAACTTGATATTAAAAAAAATGGAGATTTTATATTGAAATTTTGTATTTAAAATAGGCATACATGGTTTGATCGAGATTTAAGTGTAGCAGGTCGTGTAATGTTAGAAAATCCCAATGGAAAATTTGAGCATAGATTAGTGAAAATTAATAGGTAACAAAAGGTTAGATCTATTATAGTACTGCAGTTAAAACTTTATCAAATTTAATGATTTATAATTAAAATTACAATTAGACCCATTTTGCGGATACCAACATTAGCTATTCATCTTGACCCTGAAGTTAATGAGTCTTTTAAATTTAACAAAGAAACGCATTTAACACCATTATTAGCGACAGTAACAAGAGCGTAAATTATGATTATTTATTAAGCACACAAATACATATTTCAGAATTCGTTTTAAATGTGAATCTAAGTTAGTTCATTTCATGTTAATACAGCCTGGAAAATCAAACGGTTGAAGAAGCTAATAAAAATTCTTCGAATAAACCAAAGCATCATCCTGGTTTACTAAGTGCCTTAGCTGAAGAGATTGGAATTCAAGGTTTTGTTTAATTTTCCTTGTAGATGGGTTTGATTTACTTGATATTTGTGAATAATTATATTTACATCTAAAAAGATCCATCTAAGATACATGATTTTGAATTGTGTCTTTATGACACACAACCTTCTACTTTTGGTGGTCTATATCAGGAGTTTATTTTTTCTCCGCGTCTTGACAATTTGATGATGTCATTTACTGCTTTGAAAGTAGGCTCATTTATACTCTTTCTCTTTTTTTTTTTGCTTTTGTCTCTTTTTTAATAAAATTTAAAATAAATATTAGGCATTAATAAATAGCTCAAAAAATCCAGAAGAATCTTTATCTACAGATAATAATATTCGTTTAATTTCTCTGTTTGATAATGAGGAAATTGGCAGCACTAGTGCCCACGGTGCTAATTCTAGTCTTTTGGAGAACACTTTGAGAAGATTATCTTCAGCAAATATTGATTCGTCTGCTAGTCCTTCCAGGGTATAATGTTTTTGAATTTTGAATTGATTATTTTTATTTTAATTAGGGAAAAAGAATTTATTACCAGTATTCTCTCCATTCTTCAGACTATTTTTGAAGAGTCAATGCATAAAAGTTTTATGATTAGTGCTGATATGTCCCATGGTAACATAATATGTTTTTCAAGTTGCTTTTTCCTATCGATTAAATTTTTTATTTTCTCAGGTGTCTTAATATTATTATATACCTTCCAATAAATAAGCTATTCATCCAAATTATAGGTATGTTTTAACCAACACTTGCTCTTATATATGGATTTTTTTTTATATTAACATACCTAACATCTCTTAAAAATTATATAACTGTAGTGAAAAACACGAGGAAAATCATAGACCAGAGATGAATAACGGCGTTGTCATCAAAATCAATGCTAATCAAGTAATTAAAATATTTAATTGGTTGCATTACATTAAAAAATCAATTTATTTACAATGTTTCTATTTCATTATTAAAAGCGTTACGCTACTACTGCTGTAACTACGCTTGTATTGCGCGAGGCTGCAAAAAAATATAAAGTTCCATTACAAGAATTTGTTGTCCGTGCAGATAGTCGTTGTGGATCTACTATTGGACCAATGATAAGTGCAAACTGTGGACTACGTACTATTGGTAAATAACATTAAACATTTTTAAATAACAAGATAATTGTTTGATATTTATTATATCACGTATTTATATATCGTTAGATGTTGGAAACCCTCAATTAAGTATGCATTCTATTCGAGAAACTGCTGGAACAGATGATGTAGATCATGCAATTAACTTATTCCAGGTAATTAAATGATTTATTTAAGTTAGCCTATAATTAATTACTCTAATCGTGTGGGTATATATATTTAATTAATAGGGATTTTTTGAAGAATTTTCAAGGATTGATAAATCTATAGTTGTTGATTGAAATTGTTTAAATTGAATTTTTTTAATTTTTTTGATATTTGCTCTTGATAAATCAAATTTTTATAAATAAACAAATATTTCGCAATCAGTTAAAGCTATTGTTCAATTAACGAGATGACAATAGCACCAGTACCACCACCATCGTTACATACCTGACGTGTACCTGATACGTCTCCGGGCTTTTGTCCACTTTTGCATTCCATAATACAATTCATAATTGGATCTCTGGTACAGATAAGTCATCTGTTTCCTTAAATCTAGGAATAATAATTACCCCTTGATTGCTCCAACTAGCGCAAAATATTGGTGGCAAAACCACTCATTATTAGGCAAACAAAATCACATTACAAAACCTTATCATGAAAAAATGAGAAGCTCGCTTTTGAAGATTGGAGACATCATTATTGATGAATTGTTCCTGTGCATTAGCAACACTTCATAAGAATTCAAGAATTGCACGGCTACTATCAGTTGATGATGGACAACCTATATTTCTTTAATGGCACTATCGGCATGATAACAAAGTAATGATCATCAAAACCTTTCTGACCAGCAAAGATATCACTAAGATAATTGTACAAAAAGAAATTGTATATCTTTGGGGCCCAGCATCAAGGTGTCAATTCCCTCTACAAAATCCCTTCGCACTTACGGCACACAATACCCAAGGGTTGACCATTGTCTCGTACAACAATTAGTGTTGACGAAAACATATTTGCGACAGGTCGACATGTGTATCCATGAGCAGAGCACCTTCCCTTGAATTATTAAAATTTTATTTCCCAAGTATAAAAACGGATAACTTTACGCAAGATCGAATGATGTGTATCAAAAAGAGTTAAATGAGTGAAAAAATGTTAATAAGTGGTTATAAGTGGTGCTCGGATTTTTAGATTTGACGAAAATAAACAAATTCGGCAGGAACGTTGTAAACAAAAAATCACTACAACCAAAAGAACGAACATTTATTAAGCAATTGCCAGAAACATATCTATTACTATTACCAATACTAAAAGTAATTATTTTAAAATACATTAGATCGAATAATTTAATTTTTTAATTATTATTAATTAGTATATAAAGAATATATATATAAAATAAAGAAATTAATATTTTACAAAATCTATTATAAAAAATAATACAATTTTATATAAAATTTGGCAAGAAAAATGTGTTTTTTTAAATAAAAAAAATAAAAAATAATTAACATTTAAATTTTTTACGTGGACGTTGATTTTGTAATGATCTATCATCATCATCGTCTTCTTCTTCAAATATTATATTATTATTATTACTACTACTAACACTATTGTTGTGAAGATAATTATTACTTTCTGTTATTAGATTATTCATTAATTGGATATAATTATTACCAGTCATCATTGCAGTAAAAGTTGTTGTATTTGAAGAAGGTGCAGCAGCAGTTATTATGTTAATATTATTGATGTTGGTGTTGTTCTTGTTGTTGTTGTTGTTATTGTTAACGTTAATGCTGCTGTTGTTATTGTTAACATTAATGTTATTATGAAGATTTTGACTCCAACCAGTAGTAGTTAAGCAACGACTACCACTATTGTTATTGTTGTTGTTGTTGTTATTACTACTACCACTATTAGGATTAGTATCATCAGAGATTTCTTCAATTATTCTATTGTTATCTTCTTCATCCGATGACGTACAATTATTATTATTTTCAATAACCATAGATCTAGGAATATTTTGAAAAGTTTTAATGACTATAAGATGTTTACAATGTCTTTCCAACATTGAGAGTAAATTAGCTTTTGTAAATGGTTTTGCTAAAATATCATTCATCCCATGAGACAAATATTTGAAACAATCATCAGCTCCTATATTCGATGTCATACTAATAATTGGTGTAGTCATGTCAAATCTTCTTATTTGAGTAGTTGCTTCAACACCTAACAAATATTAATAATTATTGAGAGTTAGAAAAAAATTCACAACTAAATGTATATAATAAATATATGCGCAAGTGTGTTGTGTTGTATGTATGCTTACCATCTAAATTGGGTAATACAATATCCTAAACAAAACAAAAAAGATAAAATTATTATTATTATTATTATTATTGTTATTATTATCATCAAAACAAAACCTCTGGAATCTTTTGGTCATCTTACCATTAACACGAGATCATATTTTGCAAAATTCATTTTACGAACAGCACTTAATCCATCCACGGCAATATCAAAAGAACAACCAAAAACTCGTAAAAGTTTCGACCCGATATTTTGGTAAATAGCATCATCGTCAACTAATAAAACTTTTGGTGGAACTGACCAAGCAG